GGCTTGAACCTCTGGAAGTTCTCTGTCAATGTATGCTTGCAGCCGTTTCTGTATTACCTTTAGTAAAACTTTACTCGCATGGGATACCAAAGATATTCTCCAATGATTTCCGCCTTCTGTTGGGTCACCTCTCTTTGGAATGGGCACAAATATGAATCTATTCCAATCAGTCGGCCAGATAGCTGTTATTCAAATTTCTTGGCAGAGATGAGTGAGTACCTCCAGTGCCGCCTCACTTTCTTGAAAGATTTCAATTTTTAATTCCATTAATTCATTCCTGCTGCCTGGTTCTTTGCCAATTCCTCCAGTGCACCTTGGACATCTTCCTTCAGTATAATTGGCTCTTGATCATATGCTACCTCTTGAAACATCTGAAAATCAACCATTTCCTTTTGGTACAGTGACTTTGTGTATTCCTTCCATCTTGTTTTGATGCTTTCTGCATCATTATATAATTTGCCCAGAGAATACTTCAATAATCCAAGGCTTGAAGTTTTTCTTCAGTTCCCCCAGCTTGAGAAATGCTGAACATGTTCTTCCCTTTTGGTTTTCTGACTCCAGATCTTTGCACATTTCATGGTAATATTTGACTTCTTGAGCTGACCTTTGAAATTTTCTGTTCAGCTCTTGTACCTCCTCATTTCTTCTATTTGCTTTAGCATCTATCTCTATGCTGGAGAGCACGTTTCAGTGTCTCTTCTGACATCCATTTTGATCTTTTTTCTTTTCTCCTTAATGACTTTTTGCTTTCTTTAGGTATGAAGTTCTTGATGTCATTCCACAATTCTTCTGGTCTTTGGTCTTTAATGTTTAATGTTCCAAATCTGATCTTCAGGTGGGGATATATTCAAGGTCATACTTTGGCTCTCGTGGACTTGTTTTCATTTTCTTCAGCTTCAGTTTGAATTTGCATATGAGCAATTGATAGTCTGTTCCACAATTTGCCCCTGGCCTTGTTTTGGCTGACGATATGGTGGAACGCATAAACATCGATATCTTAGGCATTAGTGAGCTGAAATGGACTGGTACTGGCCATTATGAATCTGACAACCACATGGTTTACTATGCCAGGAATGACAAATTGAAAAGGAATGGTGTTGCTTTCATTGTCAAAAAGAACATATCAAGATCAGTCATGAGGTACAATGCTATCTGTGATAGGATAATATCTATGCACCTATATCTCAAGGTCAGCAGTTCAAAACTACCAGCTGTTCTGTGGGACAAAGATGAGGCTTTCTACTTCCGTAAAGATTTACAGCCTCGGAAACCCTGTACAGGGTCGCTAGGAATCGGAACCGACTCCACAACACATAACCACCACCACCTTGGTGCTTTTCCATCATCTCTTTCCACAGATGTAGTCAATTTGATTTCTGTGTATTCTATTTGGTGAGGTCCATGTGTATAATCGTCTCTTATGCTGTCTAAAAACAGTACTTGAAATGAACAAATCATTGATTTTGCAGAACTCTATCATGCGATCTCCAGCATTATTTCTATCACCAAGGCCATATTTTCCAACTACTGATCCTTCCTTTTTGTTCCCAACCTTTGCATTCCAATCACTAGTAATGATCAATACATTTTGATAGCATGTTTGATCAATTTCAGATTGAAGAAGTTGGTAGGATTCTTCTATTCATCCTCACTGGCTTTAATGGTTGGTGCATGAATTTGAATAACAGTGGTTATTAACTGGTCTTCCCTGTTGTACTGTTGTTAAGTACTGTGGACTTGGTTCTGACTCATAGCAATCCTGCACAGGGTTTCCAAGGCTGCAAATCTTTACAAGAGAAGAAAGCCTCACCTTTCTCCTGCAGAAGAGCTGGAGGTTTTGAACTGTCAACCTTTAGGTGTAGGCGCATTGATATTATCCTATCACAGATAGCATTGTACCTCATGACTGATCTTAGTATGTTCTTTTTGACAATGAAAGCAACACCATTCCTTTTCAATTTGTCATTCCCGGTGTAATAAACCATGTGGTTGTCAGTCCATTTCAGCTCACTAATGCCTAAGATATCGATGTTGATACGCACCATTTCATTTTTGACAATTTCCAATTTTTATAGATTCATACTTTGTATGTTTCATGTTCTGATTATTAACGGATGTTTACAGCTGTTTCTCTTCATTTTGATATGTGCCCCATCAGCAAATGAAGGTCCTGCAGGCTTTACTCCCACGGGTTTTACTCCATTCGTGGCATCATGGTCGACTCTTTTTTGAGGAGGCAGCTCTTCCCCAGTCATATTTTGAGTGCCTTCCAACCTGAGGGGCTCGTTTTCTGGCACTATATATGACAGGTTTTTCTGCTATTCATAAAGGTTTTCAGTGATTGAATATTTGGAAGTCGTTCGCCACTCCTTCCTTCCTAGTCTGTCTTCGTCTGGAAATCCCAAGTAGTAGAATTCCCTAAATACTACAAGAATGATTCTTCAGCAGAATAGAGGCAAGAAAGACCTAGCTCTTTATTCTCAAATGTTACATCAAAAATAAAGTCTTAAGCCCAGTATGTCTCAGCGTCCCTTCCTTCTACTTCTGGAGTCCTTCAGTCTGGCACTTCCCTCCAGCTTCTCCTGGCCTCGCACTTCCACATGGCACCAAATCCCTTCCCTTCCCAACTATCCTTGCTCAGCATTTACCGTGTCTTTCTTGACATTTCAAATCATTCCCTCTCTTCTAGCTTCTCTCACTTAAGCCATAAGCTTTCTAAAGTTTCCTCTATACCTAACAGACATATACACACATGCCTAAATCACAATCAATCATGAAGAAGACCTTTTATATGACCCTATTTTCATTCAGTGAGAGCAAGATGAAGCTTTCTGTTCCCAAGAAGATTTAAAAGCCTTGGAAACCCTGTACAGGGTTATTAGGAGTTAGAAGTAGAAGTAACTCAACGGCACTGTGCAACTAATAACTTTCATTTAAGCTACATGGCCTCCTTTTTCTTTTCTCCTTCACATTTTTTCCTGAAGTTTTCCTATTTCCATCCTGTCCCTTGACTGCACCTGTCCCCGGATGTCACCAATGACTTTTTCAGCCTGTCTAAGGGATGCTTTTCCTTCTGCTCTTTTGTTGCACTGGACAGTAGCAGCAATCTCTTTCCCAGCCTCCAGATCCAAGACCGCACTCTCCTGCTCGCCTTCACTGCTCAGACTATTTCCTCTTCAATCTTCTGCTGTATGTACTCGCCCCGCCACCCACGGCTGGCATTCCCTAGACCCCCTCTTGTGGCTGCCTTTTCACATTATCCGGGGTGCACTCTGCCTAGAGCACAGACCAACTCCAAGCCAGTTGCTTATACTGGGGGTCATTCCCATTGACTCATTGGGAGTTTTCATCCTAGATATGGTGCTTGAGTCAATGGGAATGACCCCCCAGTATAAGCAACTGGCTTGGAGTTGGTCTGCCCCTTAGAATTGGTTTTAGGTGGTTATTTCCATTTGTCTACTGGCCTCGTTCCCTGGGCAGAGCTGCAGAACTGTTAACCTAATGTGCCCACGGGCAGCATTCAGTGTGCTCACCCCACACCGGCTCTTCCTCTAGTACTGTGGATTACAATCCTGGGCACCACAGTGCAGTGCTCCACCTCGGCCCAGACACTCTCCTCCCAGGTCACACTCCTGTCACCTAACTGGTTTCCCCCTGGTCAGTTTCTCTTCCAGCCCACTCCTCACAATGCCTCGAAAGTCTGCCCCTCGAAGAATCTATCCTTGTCACTTATTTTTGTGGTTGGAGAGCCCTGTTGATTTCCTTATAAGCTAAACTCAAATTTAAAAAGCTTTTGCGCAGAACCGGGCAGTGTTCCGTTCTCTTGTGCATAAGGTCACTACAAGTCAGTAGTGACTCAATGACACCTAACAACAACAAAGCACAGCATACAAAGCCTTTCTGGGGTCTGGGCCCAAATCTGTTCTTTGACAGCCATCATCAGATGCATGGTACTTTCTCCTGCTGCGATGCCCTTCCAAACTTGCCACCTAGTGCCTGGAAAACTCTTAGCCATCCATCCAGTATGAGCTCAGATGCTGCCTCTCTTATAGTCTTGTCCTGACAGTGTCTGCAGCCCTTAATGCCTGCCCCACACAGATTCAAATTCCCCTACACCTTTAGCTGGCTCTTTCCACCCAGCCCTGCCACCATCTGTCCCCTTCCCCGCTACTCTTTTAAGAGCAGGGCACACTTACTCTTGGTCTCTGCACTGTGGGGCCTAGCAAGGTGCACGGCTCAGGGGATGGCCAAAGAATGTCTGCCAAGTAAATGAGCAACAAAAATGCCAAGAAGCATCTGACTTTTCCGCGCTTTTTCGCATCTTGCAGAGATTTCTCAACAAGATATAAGAACTGCTTCTGGAGTTTGGCATAACTTGGATTCTTGAGGAGTTCAACTTTATTCAAAGCCCTAACAGAATCAAGACATCTGTCTATCAGTGGAGTAGTTAATCTTAAGCAGGCAGAGATAACAATTATAAATTCAAACTGGGGAGCAAAGGAGTTGGTGTCTTCAATCTCACTCTGGTATGAATTCCTACAGAGTTCAGATGATGTGAGGGTGACCTGAGAGCTGGTCCAGGGCAGGGCCTATTTACCTGAAGGACTGCACCTGCCGAGGTACCTTCCGGCTCTGCTCCCGAAGCCGACACACATCCTTGGAGACTTGTCGCATCAATTTCTCAGCATTTAAATCTTGTTTCTGCTCTTCCTTTGATTGTTCAGCCTGGACAAGGGAATGAAGATACAGAAAACCAAAATATAAATGAGAAATCCCACAGGATATGCTACTAGGCTTGAAAAACAGTCAAGTACAAAGCCACAGGAGGGCAACCTACACAGACAACAAGGTGGGTATCTTTTTCTCATCCATCTGAGAGCAGCTCCATCAGGCCAAACTCACACTGATGTGGAACAACCATGAACTTAGGGCACGCTTAGTTTAACTCCAGTTAAAATATCATACTACGGGAACGATGTGTTCCCATTTTTTACATCAGGAAAAACCTAAGAGTCCCCCCAATGCCCCTAAGTTAATTGAAAACTACTTGTAACACTGTTTCTAGAATATACATACTGTTGACATTCTGTTGAGTATGCTCTCAACCTTTTACTCATCTTTTTTGACTTTTTCCTCTCTGAGCTATTAAAAAAGATGTTTATTGAAGTAAAGTATACATACCAAACAAGTATACCTAATTATATAGCTCAATTAATACAACCATGTAAACTAGAACCTTGATCAAGAATGAAACATCACCAGTTCCCAAACTCCTTTTGGTTCCCCCCGTCCCTACAGGGGTTACCAGCATTACTATTGTTGTTGTTGTTAAGTGCCGTCGAGTCGGTTCCGACCCATAGCGACCCTGTACAGGGTTTCCGAGGGTGTAAATCTTTACGGGAGTAGAAAGCCTCATCTTTCTCCCGCGGAGCAGCTGGTAGTTTCGAACCGCTGACCTTAAGGTTCACAGCCCGATTGGTAACCACTACGCTACCAGAGCTCCTTAGCATTACTATTACTCATGGCATATATCACTTGTACTTACTTTCGTCCTTTATGTAAATGGAGTAACAGTAAGCACTCTGTTATTGTTGCTGGGTACCGTCAAGTCGGTTCTGACTCATAGCAACTCTACGGATAACAGACCTTCCCACTGCTTAGTCCTGTACCATATTCACAACTGTTTAGCCTACTGTGATAAGCACTATGTCAATCCATTTTGTTGAGGGTCTTCCACCTTTTCACTACATGATGTCCTTCTCCAGGGAGGGAGCCCCCTTCATAACATGTCCAATCTATGTGAGATAAAGTCTCGCTGTCCTTGATCCTAAGGAGTCATCTGTTTGTAGTTTTCCCAAACCGTGTCTTTGTTCTTCGGGCAGTACTGGCATAGTCACTATTCTTTGCCAACACCATAATCCAAATGTGTCAACTCTTCTTTGGTCTTCCTTTTTATTGGTTAGCTTTCACATGCACATGAGGTGATTGAAAACACTGTGGCTTGGGGGTCAGGAACAACTTAAGTCATCAAAATGATATCTCCCTTTGCATTTTAAGATTTTTAACAAGGTCTTTTGCAGCAGATTTGTCCCACAGTAATATGTTCTTAACTTCTGCTTCCATGAGCACTGATTGCTGATCCAAGTGAAATGAAATCCTTTACGTTTTTTTTTTTTGCTCAACATTATACTAATGAGATTCATCCACACTATTGTATTAAGTTATAACTCGTCATTCTGACTGCTATAATGTTCTGGGGTCCTGGTGTGGTGCTGTAGGATAAAGCACTAGACCGCAAGGTTGGTTTGAACCACAAGGTTGGTAGTTCAAACTCACCAGCTGCTTCTTAGAAACCCTACACAGGTTGCTATAAGCCGGAACCACCTCGATGGCACTTTAACAACATAGAATATTCTGGCCTCTTGGTGTACTGCTGTAGGATAAGTACAAGCTCAGCAATTCAAACCCACCAGCTGATCCCTGGAAAACCTAAACAGGGTGGCTATGAATCTGAACTGACTTGAAGGCACTTAACAAACACAACATCTAATAACCCATAAGCTATTATCTGGTTTGCTGTTGGGACATTCAGGTAATTTATATGAATATGTATTTTAAATAAAATTAGAATAATCCATATATAATTTATATGAATACATATTTTAAATAAAATTAGAACAATCCATATATATTTATGAAGTCATAATCTTCCATTCTGTGAAGTATTGTAAATCCTAGCCTCCATTCCTATGGTTATGGTCCCATTTGGGAATGAACTATGTGTAATGTTAGTGAGGCAGGATTAAGGTGATGAATCTTGATGCCTAACAAAGGGTGTGACTTAGCCACCATCCTTAGTATCCTCAGGAGTGCCTTCAGCAGATCAGTTGTCATCTTTGATATCTGGGTTAAAACAAGAATTATCTTTCTGTTTAAAGCTGCTCCCTTATTAGGCAAACCATCAACTTCCTGCTTAACTAGGAAAAGAAAGGAGGGTAGAGTCATAGAACTGGCCCACCTAATACACACACTAACAAACAAGCAAAATGTCCTAGATTTTGATGTCACATGGCAGCAAACACACCTCTACCAAAGACTACCCCCTCCCTGACATAGGCACCTCTTTGTGACACCTCTTCCTGACTGAGAATGATGAGAAGACTAGTTCTTGTGCTGAATCATTCTGAGGAACACCAATCAGACACTAGTTATTGGCTTAAAAGACCCCTGGCCCAGGACTTGAGGAGTTTTTTGGTAATGTGAGTCTTGGTGCATTCCTTTGCATGGCCAATCAAGTGAGTACTTCTTTTGCTTTCAGCTCTTTTGAGTCTTTGTAGCTATACTCAGCAACACTTAGGCAATGTTTGTTCTCTTGTTCTGGATCCTATATCTGGCTCCCCTTTGTCGGGCTTTAAGCAGGCCATCTATCGCCTTACCTGGTTCACCAGTGAGTCAACAGCTACCTGGCCAACTGACTGGAAGAGATCCATATTTGGGCCCATTCCAAAGAGGTGACCCAAAGGGATGCAGAAATCATCAGACCATATCATTAATATCACATATAAGTAAAATTTTGCTAAAGATAATTAAAAAACAGCTACCACAGTACATACACAGGGAACTACCAGAGATTCAAGCCAGATTCAGACCAGGACATGGAACGAGGTTACATCACTGCTGACATCAGAAGGATCTTGGCTGGAAGCAGAATATACCAGAAAGAGATTTACCTATACTTTATTGACTATGTAAAGACTTTTTGACTGTGTGGATCTTGACAAGCTCTGGGCAACATTGTGGAAAATGAGTATTCTGGAACACTTAGTTGTGCTCATGAAGAACCTGTACATATACAGACAGGGAGGCAATCATTTGAACAAAACAAGGGGACACTAAATGGTTTAAAATCTGGAAAGGAGGGCACCAGGGACGTATTCTTACACCATACTTATTAAATCTGTATGCTGAGCAAATAATCCGAGAAGCTGGATTATATGAAGAAGAATTTGGCATCAGAATTGGAGGAAGACTCATTAACAACCTGTGACATGCAGATGATACAACCTTAGTTGTTGAAAGTGAAGAGGACTTAAAATACTTACTGAAGAAGATCAAAGACCACAGCCTTCAGTATGGATTGCATCTCAATGTACAGAAAACAAAAATGCTCACCACTGGACCAACGAATAATATTGTAATAAATGAAGAAAGGATTGGAGTTGTTAAGGACTTCATTTTGCTTGGACCCACTATCAACACTCATGGAAGCAGTAGTTAAAAAAATCAAATGACACACTGTACTGGGTAAATCTGCTATGCAAGACCTATTTACAGTGTTGAAGAGCAAAGATGTCAATTTGAGGACTAAGGTCTGCCTGACACAACCAATGGTATTTTCAGTTGCCTCATATGCATGTGAAAGTTGAAAATAAAAATAAGGAAGACCGTAGAAGAAATGATGCATTTGTGTTATGGTGTTGGAGAAGAATATTAAAAGTACCATGGATTGCCAGAAGAACAAACAAATCTGTGTTGGAAGAAGAAAAACCAGTATGCTCCTTAGAACATATTATATTAGGAAGAACTAGTCCCTGGAGAAGGATATCATGCTTGGGAAAGTGGAGGGCCAACAAAAAATAGTAGACCCCCTAATGAGATGGATTGGCATAGTGGCAGCAGTAATGGTCTGAAGTATAACAACGATGGTGAGACTGGCAGTTTTTTGTTTTATTGTGCATAGGGTTGTATTGGGTCAGAACCAACTCGATGGTAACTAACAACAGAAGAAAGGGCTGCTGATCTACTTCCAAAAAATCAGTCACAGAAGACCCTATGGAACAGTTCTATTCTTGACACAACATGGGATTGCCATAAATTAGAATGGACACAGTGCAAACTGCTTGTCCGGATGGTATCAAATAAAAGGACCATTCCTTAGCTACATAAAACACTGAAATAGGAAGCGAGGCATAAATATCAATGTGTAACTGGTTATTCCTCCTCCTTTCATATTTGAAAATTATGTGAGTTATGCTAACAACTATCACTGTGGTTTGAGTAGCTCCCCCGCTTGCCACCCACCACAGTGGAGTTGACTTCTCCCTTGTAGAAGTGCAAATAACAGGCTGCCTGGTTGTTAACTCAGCGTATGGCTCGATTCCGCATTGTGGACCCAGCTATTTGCACTGTTCATAAGCTCCAGGAGGGTAGGAGCTATGTATGTTCAAAATAGTTTACAAAGGCCCAAGTACACAATAAAGATTTTTAATTCAAAGGTTTATTTTTTACAATTGCTTGTATTTTTATATAGGTTTCTTGCAGTTGTGCCTTATAAAAGAAACTGTATTAAAGTCAAATGGCTGGAGACGTTAAAAAAATATATGTACTTAATATGGGGGAGTGGTATAGTGGAAAAGCAGTTTTGCCAATATATACTTAAAAGCAATAGTTATTTCCATCTGACAGAAATAAAACTTTAATTTACTTTATTTATGTCTTAGGGAACAGTGGGGCACTAGAAATATATAAAGTAGCTTTGGGGATTTGTTTGGAGAGTGGCTTTAAGAAAAGGACTTCTAAACAAAAATTTTGGTGCCTATACAAGGTACCTGTTTTTTAAAAAAACATTTCATTGTGAATTGAGTGAAGGTTTATACAGAAGATCATCAGTTTTACATTCAACAAATCATATACTATGTTTCATCTTGTGATCCCCTCCATGTAAC